AGGTCCAATGGTCTTAAATTCATGAGGTACTCTAAAGCAGCCGATGGAGTTGTTCTCATGCATCCAGTTGCTGCTACGCTCGCCAAGCGTTGTAGACTTTGGAGTTTGGATTTCACTGTGGTCAGTTGGGTCCTGGGCCACCAAACAACTGAACCATAGGTTATAGAGGGCCTGATGACTGCTGTGTATAACCAAAGGGTGATCTTTGGACTTAGACCCCACTTTTTACCAACTAGTCTTCTACACTGATTAAAAGCTATGCAGGCCTTCTTTGTTTTTATATCAATATGACTCGCCCAATTCAGTTTGTTATCCAGGATTACGCCCAGATATTTCACTTGTGTTGATAGGGAGAGTTTGGTATTAAACAGTTTTGGTAACTGTAGTTCAGGTAGCTTCCTTTTGTTGGTGAAAAGGACTAGCTCTGTCTTGTTCGGGTTTACTGACAAGTGATGTTCGTCACACCATTTTTCCACAATCTGAAGGGCTGAACGCATAACCTTGCAAAGGACATTTTCAGCGTTCCCATTTATCAGAATTGTTAGGTCGTCCGCATAACCAATAGTAGTGTATCCTCTGTCATTCAGACTCCGTATGAGACTGTCCACTACTATGTTCCAGAGAAGTGGTGATAGGACTCCCCCTTGGGGACATCCTCTAACTACCTTCGCACGCGTGGTAGCGTTCCCCACTATCTGAACCGCCCTTTTGCCGACCAGTTCGGTGATCCAACCTCTGGTGACTTGGTCCACCTTGAGTTTTCTTAGGGCGTGGTTAATGCTGTTGTGCATCGTTTTGTCAAAAGCACCTTCTATGTCTATGAAGGCTGCTAATGTTGAGGTTTTATTTGTAATTGCCGACTCTATTTTGTGGACTACTGCATGCAGTGCCGACTCTGTTGATCTGCCTTTTCTGTAGGCATGTTGTTGAGGGTGCAGCGGAGCCTTACTTAGTGCTCCATCCCTAAGGTGTCGGTCTACCAGTCTTTCCAATGTTTTCAAGAGAAAAGAGGTTAGGCTTATTGGTCTGAAGGACTTGGCTTGTGTATAGTCGTCCTTGCCTGGTTTCGGTAAGAAGACTACTTTTGCCTCCCTCCATGGTTTTGGTATGTACTTGAAGGCCAGGCAGGCCCTAAAGATTGGTTGTAGGTATCTGGTTGCCTGGTCGAGTTTCCATTGTAGTAGCGCCGGGAATATACCATCTAGTCCTGCTGACTTAAATGGTTGAAAGCTTTTTAGAGCCCATTCTATCTTTTCCGCCGTTACTATTATTTTTGCCAGGTCCCATTCCTGGGTTGTTGGTGCATTGTGGTGCTCAGTCAACCACTCAAAGCCAGGCGCCAGTTGGCATCCTGGGAAGTGGGTTTCCAGTAGCACCGCATTGGCTTCTTCTTCTGTTTTTGTATAAGTGCCGTCTTCCCTTTTCAGAGACCCAAGAAGGTTGGAGTTGTCCTTGGACAGAACTTTCTTGAGTCTGGCAGCTTTGATTTGTTGAATTGACACTACTACAGAAGCCGCGCCATCCTTCTCTACTCCGGAATCTGATCCGCTTCTTGTAGTGTTTTTGTGCTTTTTTATATTTGTCCCAGTCCTCATTGGTTCTGGTATTTTTCGCTCGATTGAAAAGTGTCCTGAGTTTCTTACGTAGTCTTTCAAGTTCTGGCCCCCACCAGGAACTTTTACCCAGGCCTTTCGGTACGATGGTAGGACACGTCAGTTCGTAGCTTTTAAGAAGTGCTGAAGTGTAGAACTGTACGTTTGTTTCTATGTTGTTTATGTCAAGAATTTCGTCATGTATTTGCATTTCGCTTAGTGTTTTAGTTATCAGTTCTTTGTACCTTGCTATATCTGTTTTTCGGGGGTTGCGATATGGAACAGGGTCTGTTTGTCTGTATTGTAATTGGAAACATATCCTGCGGTGGTCTGCAAAGGAGGGTTCGTTTGACACGTGCCATCCTTCGATTAGATTGGCCACCGCGTGTGTCGCTAGTGTTATATCTATGATAGTTTGGTACCTAGAGCTAACAAATGTGGGCTCCGTCCCAATGTTCATGATGTTAAGGTTGGTTTGGAATAAGTATTCAGTTAATAACTCACCCCTTTTGTTTGTGTCCTTACTTCCCCACAGTGAGTGATGTGCGTTGCAGTCAGCCGCTACGATCAGCTCCCATTTGTGGTCCTCGCAGTGTCGCACCAGCTCGGTCAGCTCCCTCGGAGGAATTTCCCCCTCATTCGGCATGTAGACCGAAGCTAGTACCAGGACTGTTTGGTTATCTGTGGGGATCGTCACAGCTGTGAGGTCTCTAGAACAGAATTGGTTAAGCATGGTTGTTTTTATAGACTTGGGTGTAAAAATACATGTCCTTGGTTTATCGATAGATGTGTTTAAAAGTAACTTACCACCGATGTTGTTCAGACCGCAAATCCTATTATTTCTGATCCAGGGTTCCTGAACCAGGGCGACGGTCGTGTTGTTTGTCTCCAGCACCCTGCGTAGTGTGGCCGCCGCTATCTGTTTGTGCTGGAGATTGGTCTGCATAATGGTGATGGTGCTACTAGGGACTGCGAAGGACGCCATCTTCGTCGCTAACGCTGTCCTCAGAGCTCAGGCCTGCTTCCTCTTCCATCTCGCTCGGACCCGGTTGGGGAGCTGAGGTGGTCGGTGTCGGGATCGCAGCGCCTTCCTGCTCTGTAGTAGCACTTGATGTCGCTACTGTCGGGTCAACCACTGTTGCTTCGTCTGTCGCGAAAAAGCGGATGTATCCACTGCCAGACATGTGTGCAACACGGCGTTCCCTGTCCAGTATTGTTTGTTTTTGGTCCTCGGGGATTCCAAGGATCAGGTGGACCACCTTCTCCTTAAAACTGCTCTCCGGTTTGTCATCAACGGTCATGTCGTAGCACTGCCAGGACTCGACCTTGTACCAGGGGTTCTGGGCACAAAGGAGTTTCTGCAGTGTGGCAGGCTCGGTAATGCGGGTGTGGAGAAGAAGCCCAGCTCTGAGTTTCCTCTTCACATCCGACAGCCTAATGACCGTTAATGTGGTGTTCGGTATGGGTGACGGGATGGTTTTCACCATTTGCTCCAGCCACTTGAGTGCGTTTTCGTCCTCACACCACATCGTTAGCACCCCGTCCGAAAGGAAGGGTCGCCCGCGGAAAGATGGAGCCTGCGCATCTGGAGACTGCGGAGTCAGAACTGCCTGCAGGATCCCATCGTCGATGGTCTCCTTCAGCTGTTCCGCCTGCTCAGCCGAGAGGTCCCTCGGCGGGACGGTGGTGACCGCTACTCTCAGATGCGATTTACTCGCATCTGCGTAGCTCACCGTCCGCTTCGTCTTCGCGTCGGTTTTCGCGCGTTTGGCATCCCCCCTTGGAGACTGCGTGTCGTCCAGGCGTGGCCGCTTCGTAGAAGCTGCCTCGCCCGATCCACACGCAGTCGCAGGCTGCTCCTTTTCAGGAGCAGTGGGAGCCTCCGCAGCGATCCGCCGACCACGATCACCCCTCGGTTTCGGTCTCCGTCGTGGTTGTTTTTGTGCGTTTGTGTTGTCTGTTTTGTCGGCCCCCTGTATTTCTACAGGCTCGCGCTGTGTTTCCACTGCTGCGGTGACCGACTGTGTGGTGTTTTGTTTGGTTTTGGGCTGCAGGGCTTCCCTTCTCGCGCGCCGGTTGTGGCGACTGCGTTCTGTTCGGCCCTGCGAGCCTTTGTTTGAGTGTTTGTGGGTAGCCGCCGCATTAGCAGTCTTCCCTTTGCAGGGGCGCTTATGGGCGACCACAGTCCACTGTGTTTGTGTAGGTGTTGTACTACTTGTTGTGGCTGAAGTTATGGCCTCAGCTAGGCCAGACAGGTCCAGGCTTGTGCCCTTCCCTGAGCGCTGATTGTCCCCCCCAGAATACGCGGGACAGACCAAGCCAGGCTTGGTGAGGGATTCCTCGCGAGTCGCGATACCCTCCTGGGGTACTGTCATCTCTTTGTCAGCACTCATTTTAATGTTTTTGGGCTTTGGCGGGAAATGCCAAATAACGCACACGACTCCTGCCCAAGGGTGTGTGGTACAATGTTTTAGGGGGTATTTAATTCCCCTAGGCCATGTGAGCCCGGGTGTGGATATGCGCCGCCACGGTTCGGCTATGCGGGATTTTGTGGTCCGGCCAGAGGTTTCTGTTACGTCAATTACAGAAGGTATTTGACCAATAACGGGCGGCAACCTCGTGAAGGATAGTCCTCTGGCCTTGATTAGGGGATCCTTGCGACTTGCGCTACTCCCTAACCCGTTCGCCAAACCCAGTATCGGACAGATACTGAGAGTAGGTGATCATCAAGCAAGTTTCTTGTTTGACCATCCCCCGCCCTGTGATGGGTCATGGCTCAATCTCCCTATTATCCATAGGGAAGGCCTGTGCCCTAGCAGTGGGGACATTAATAGGCTGATGATGATGATGAAGGTTGAAGAGCTCAATTTCTATGTACTAGATAACATAATTAGAAAATTTGTTAACATCTTAACTTAAAATTATAAATGCGAAAATGAGTTTTTTTAATGGCTGAACGCATTTGTATGAAATTTGGCAGACATATAGTTCGTTACCTGGATTGAGACATAGGATTATCTTTAGCCCGAACATATGTTACGTTACTGAAGAATCTATACATACATATAATAAAATGGTAGAAGTCAAAACTGTACATTGAAAAATTTTTATTAAAGAATACTTGGGGTGTGATCTACAATCGATACTGTCTGTTTGTCTGTATGTATCCGGGCTAAACTGCATGGATTTACTTCAAATTTGGTACGAATATTATTAAGAAGTCGGGTCAACATATAGGCGACATATTATCACGCTATCACCTACGGGGAACGAGCAGCTAGTTCTCAATAAACTAAAAAATCCGGGCGGCCGTAATATAAATTTGTGTCAAAAAGGTTTAATCCTTCCAATTATCTCTTACACTATTTCAATCACCTTTGATGCTTCACAAAACCAAAGCCTCGACAGACAACCTGTATGATTTTAACCACACAATTTTGAGTGAAAGTGTTCTTAAAAGTAAAAACTTGAAAAAACTGCTCACCTCCCCCGACTACTGTGGAGTCGTCGAACCAGTCCTGCGCGGTCGAGTCATCGCGATTGGTCACACGCCGGGACTCGAACAGGCGACGTCGACAGCGGAAGTGACGATTCTCTGATCTGATGTATTTTTTTTTTTTGCTTCACGTTTTGTTGGAACAAGTTCGGTCTATGATACTAAACATTCTGGGAATTCGTTAATTGTGATACGTCATGTAATAATGTTTTTCATAAAGTATTTGTAAACTCTTACGGAAGAAGAACGCTATGAGGTTTTAGACGTAAGACGGCTTAGGCAAATTCCCTGCAGGTTTTCGAGATATAGCCACTCCTTTTCTATAGTTCTCTGAAATTATAATGTGTCTTCTCATAACCCCAGCCTAAGAATGTGTTGGGAATAAATAATAAATATTTCCAACACTCACACCAATTAGCCTAGCCCCAAAGTAAGCACTGTAAGGCTTGTGTTATGGGATTGCTAGGGTAACGGATAGAATATATATACATATATAAGTATATTTATATAGACATATTAAACATCCATGACTGGAGTACAAATGCTCGTATTCATCACACAAACATCTGCCCCCACCGGGATTCGAACCCGGGACCTCTCGAGTCGGCGACACCATGAAACCCCGCGTACAAACCACACGGCCACGGAGGTCGTCATTATAATGAATTATTAAAGATAAACGATAATATGCCTGACATTTTTTTATAGATAGGTCCGACAAATGACTCCACCCCACCTGATGTTAAGTGAAGGTGAAGTCCAGACGCGAATATAGCTGATACAGCAGTTCTACCTGCCACACCAGCCATCCTCACCCTGCCGGCCTGCATGCTGCTTCTTCACGCCTCTTTTTAAGGATCCCAGGTTGTAAGAGGGAGGGAACACGTGAGCAGGCAGAGCATTCCATTTACGGATAGTGCGACAAAGAAATGAGTCACCAAATTTCTTTGTACGCGTTGGAATTGTGGCCACAGTTAGACGGTGATACCGAAGGCCAGCGCGCGTGGTCCTCTGAAGGAAAGGGGAAGGTGGAATAAGAGTGAATAACTCCTCAGTTCATCCACAGTTCATCAGTTATTGTATGGAAATCATGCCTTCCTAAGATAATAAAATGAATATTGATGAATTGATATAATATTTTGTATTTAATGTTCAAAATTATTTTGTGTTCTATTTATTACTTGTTTTTTTATTAATAATTATTATAGAAGAGTCAATATTAATTATTACATGATTTTCAAAGTTTGTGGCGACAGTTTAAGTTAATATTCATTTCATTTATTTAAGTTGCTCAATTGACTATGCATGCTGTCCGCACATATTATTTGAATTACCCTCTATATGTGTCGTATGTATATTGTTGATTAACTTTTATTATTTCTTCATATCGTAACTTAACAATAATATAATTAACCAATATACTATTATTTAACACTAGCTTAAACAAAAAGAAAAATATACTATAACAACGAACCTAAAACTAAAAACCTTAAAAAATAAAATATAATAACTAAAATACATTATTATTAAAAGGAGTCCCGTTAGACAAGGTTCCGAAGATACTGGCAGCGTTCCCCCTTTGGATAGATAGACTAATTCTTTGTCCGAGGTACCTGCCAGCTCTTCGGTCTCCTGTGATGTCGACTAATCTTTTTGCTATTTCTTTAAAAAACTTTATAGCGCTAGGACCCCACGGACCAAGGGTGTCTACACCGAATGTTGATTAACTATATAAATGCTGTAATTATCTGTTTTGTGTGGCTCATAAATAATATCAAGAAAGAAATTTGGTGACTCATTTCTTTGTCGTACTATTCGTAAGTGGAATTCTTTGCCCGCGCACGTGTTCCCTCCTTCTTACGATCTGGGGTCCTTTAAGAGAGGCATGAAGAAGCATTTCTGCAGGCCGGCTAGGCGAGGATGTTTGGTGTGGCAGTTGATAACTGTTGCACCAAACATTAGTATTCTGTAAGGATGTTTCTATCTCATATGGGCGCTCCAGTTTTAGCGGAAAATATAATGTCTTTCTATTATAAAAAATCTTATGTTGAAAAAGTTTTTGCCACGCCATTTTTTTGTAAGCTTTTTTTCTAACAAAACCATCGAAATAGCTGTATTTCTTTTGTACAAAACTTGTCCTGACAATTATTATTACAAATACAACAAAAAAAGCTGAAAATATTTGGTGCAGTGTTTCTATAAGTATTGTATGACTATTTATTTTTATTTAGGTATGTACCTATGTATAGATTTCAATCGGATCGTTGAATGTAAAAATAATGTCATTTACATGAGGTCATGAAATATTTATGCAAGTGCTGCCATCTAGTGAAAAAGCGCCAGATTTCCGAACCCTCTTTGACGCGGAAGCAAACAAAACTTGTAACGACGATAAATAGGTCAAGCGTGAATCGGTTTAGCCGTAAAGGGTTCTTTAGGGTCTTGGACTACGAAGTCTTAGTAATTCCTCTTGTTAGATTATTAAGTATCCATATTATTTTAATGAAATTACACATAAATATCTGTTAAATTTCACGCGTCATTTTGATAAATATTTTTGAATAATACCAATTTTTTAATATTTCACATGTTCAACTAAATAAGTTTTGAAAATACTAGGACTATGAACAACTTTAAGCTATATCTAGAGCGATTAAATGTTTCACATCTTGATATTTACCGCAGTGTGTTTTCATTTTTAGGTTAGGATGAAGTTTAAATTTTATCCCTTTTTATCACTTAAGATAGATAGATAGATAATGCGTTTTTTGTCTTCAACATACTTATACATTTCAGAGTAATAAAATAATGAAAAATTAAAAGATACAAGAAATCAGCTATAAAAACCCATTATGTATGCTGCAGAAAGCAAAAGGCCAAGGCTCTGTTAAACATTTGCCAGTTTTAAGGCAAACCACCGATTTTCAGCCATCACCTTTTTGAATGAGTAGATTAGCTTTATTAATAAAAATTTAGAAGATCATGCAAGGAGAAAAGAGTATTTTGCTCTAAAGGGGTATTTTGCTCCTCCTCTAAAGGCTAACAACAGTAACAACTACTAAAGGCACACATAATAAGTCACATGGCAAATATGGAGTCGCTGAACCTTGGCAGCTTAATTTCATTTCTTACTATATTGTTGTACCAACTCCACAAAGATTTTATTATACAAGATGCCGTTACGCAATTTTATTCTCATTCAATCAGATAAATAACTTAGCAGCAATTAATTTGAGAATTTTAAATTTATTTACATATTTTATTATAAATTTAGAAACACTGCAGAAAATCTTCTCGCCTATTTAATATTTTGGAACACAGTTCTTTTTAGAAAATAATAATCGTTAAAAAATCTAACCAGAACTTGAAAGAGACGATACCATTGTAATCCAATCAATTTATTAATTGTAAATCATTGAATAATAAAAAAACGGTAAAACATACAATTAAAACACCTGAAAATATAATATTACTAGCGGCCCGCCCTCGCTTCGCTCCGGTGTGGAGCTGAAGTGTAGACTACAGTTTTTGTTCTCAGGCTTGTATTATAAAGTCTCAGCCCGATCGGTTTAAAATTGACAAAGTTTCATACAAACTTTCATTCCCTATTTTATCCCCTTGGGGGTAGAATTGATCAAAATCCTTTCTTAGCGGATCATCATCATCATCAGCCTCTTAATGTCCCCACTGCTGGGGCACAGGCCTTCCCTATGAATGGAATAGGGAGATTGGGCCATGACCCACCACGCGGGCCCGGTGCGGATTGGCGGGTGCTAACGACTGCAGGTGCAGCCGGGACCAACGGCTTAACGTGCCTTCCGAAGCACGGAGGAGCTCGAGATAGTAAATTTTTGGTCACCCATCCAATGACCGACCACTGCGAAAGTTGCTTAACTAGAACGATCGCAGCCGAACGCGCTAACCACCTGCGCCATCGAGCTCCTCTCCTCTTAACGGATGCCTACGTCATAACATCTACCTGCATGCCAAATTTCAGCCCGATCCGTCCAGTGGTTTGGGCTGTGCGTTGATAGATCACTATGTCAGTCAGTCAGTCACCTTTGAGTTTTATATAAATAGATTTACTTATTTCTTGTGTTTTCAGGCACACCACTCACACCATCAAATAAAATAATACTGTAACGGACTTAAAATAACCGATATTATTTTAAAATAGTTTGTTTTTTTTTTCAAAATAAATATGTCAGTGGTTTTCACTACTGCTCTACGGATCTCTAATAAGCTGTAAGAAAGGGACAACTATACGCGGTCCGTTCCGCTCCATTAGAACCGCCTTTGTTCAAATTTTGACAGTTTCCTGGCCAATCAGATAACTCTTCGACCAACAGTCGTAAGCAGGTGGCTTAATCCCTATCTTGTAGGCAATAAAGTCAACTTTTAATTAGCACCATTCTTTCTTCCAAATGGTAATTTCTAAATCGGTAGTTTTAAGTTGGAACGCTTCTAAAAATGCGTTCTTAAGCTATTAGCATTACGGAAGAGTTTTCTTTGACACAATTAGAATGACCAGTTGTAATTAACATTTAAGTGGCCGTACATACGTAATGCCATAAGCCACAACTTTAAACTTTACGACATTGTAATTAGATCGTTTTTTCTTTACCCGTACAGAGTGATTCACGAGCATTATAATGTATTCGGAAATGCTGTAATTAAATGCTTGAAATCTTGATTATTAATGACTTAACTTACTTGAAAAATACTGTTAGAACTGATGGTAGACGTAACTGGAGTGGATAAAGGCTCCTTTAATGTCTCCACTGCTGGGGCACAGGCCTTCCCTATGGATGGAATAGGGAGATTGGGCCAAGACCCACCATGCGGGACCAGTGCGGATTGGCGGGTGCTAACGACTGCAGATGCAACCGTGACCAACGGCTTAACGTACCTTCCGAAGCACAGAGGAACTCGAGATAGAAGATTTTTGGTCACCCATCCAATGACCGACCACTGCGAAAGTTGCTTAACCTCAACGATCGCATCCGAACGTGCTATCCACTTGCGCCATCGAGCTCTAGCATAGTATATTATTTATACCATAATATAATACATTTATATGTGTATCAATATTAATCATTCCGT